ACACACACACACACACACATATACACACAGAGCACACTGACACAGACACACGGAGAAACACGTACACAGATACGAGTACGGGGAGGAAACGGAATGAAGGAGAGCACGCAAACATATAGGTTATAATTCAGAAGGCTGGATGCAATTAGAAGGACGAAAAAGAATCGAGCAGGAGGGATGTCTCGAGGCCGCCGACCGTGGATTCGACGACGAACGTTTGTTTCGCGGCGATACTGATTTCGCGGAGAACGTGTATAAAGCGACATTGTAAGATATCGTTGTAAAAAAAGGTTTTAACTTAAAATAAATTAACGATAATTCACGCATAATAATTCCGTGCTAATTCTCAGCTTCTTAAACCATGTGGCTTTCCTCTCGTCGATTCGATCTCTTTCGAGGGGAAGGGAAAACCTCTCTCTGCACCTACGTGTTTATTTCGTGGACGAAGATGTGTTACGAAAGTGTTGCAGCGCGTCTTCTTCGAGACGTTCAACTGGATAACTTTCGATCGAGGAACAGGACACGAGGGCCTTGTCGATTTATTCAGGAATCAACGCATTTTTTTTTTTTTTTTTTTTCTTAAATCCATTTCTCACTCATTGTTAATTCTCGCAGTCAGGTTAGGTTGGGTCGTACTACTTGATTTAATTCAATCATTAAATCATCGAAGGAGGAACTATACAGGATACGCTTATAATATTACAAAGACGTATTATTATTATTATTATTATTATTATTATTATTATTATTATTATTAATAAGAATGATATTGATTATTATAAAAAGAGTTTAACAAATGAAAATTCGATCTCCAGATGTATCGTACAATAATTAATTTTTGGTAGTTTCAATTTAATGACGGAACACAGAATGAAGAACGATAATTGTTAAAAAGCTGAAATCCACAGGAATGACGTCAAATGCTGTTCTTTCATTGCAGATCACGAGAGGAAATTCTTTAAAAGAGAAAACGTATATATATATATATTTTTTTTTTTTTCTCGCGATTACACGTTCCTAATCTAAATCCTACCATCTCAGTTACTGTGATCATTAATCACATACTGTGCGATCATCGTGAAATGGAAATTAGAGTTTCCGTCTGGATTCTACGATTTCACAAAATTTCAGGAAACAACGAAACGTTTGCAACGTTATGATAAGTTATTGCTCGGTCCGTTAATAGATTAATTAACAGGTGCGAGATAATTAAGCGTTGTCGAGCCGACAAGAGGTGTTTACGTTACATGTAAATCAGTAAAGGGTCGGTGGCGATAAATCGGCGGCTTTCGCGAAAGCGAAATAAATTCCGTCGCGCCGACCGATGGCTATCGATATCCGGCTGAGACACGGTTAAGGAACGACGTTTCCGAACTGTGCAATTCCCCCTGTGCACGATGCAACAACCACTGTAGTTTCTTTTTCTTTTTTTTTTTTTTTCTCTATTTAACTGGATAAAATTTGGGCAGAAGCTCGGTTTCACGGTGGAAGAACATTTAGGAGCTTCTTATAGTTGATTGAAAGATAGTTTATATACAATACGAAAAGTCAATTAATCAATTCTTAATTCAGTTCTTTGAAGTAGAAAACTTTTATAGTGAAGAAGTTGCGTGGAAACTTTATTTTAATAAAATATGCAAAGATAGTAGGAAAATTATAATATAATTATTATATGTAATAATATATTATTATAATATAATAATATATATTATAAAATAATAATGTAATTTTGAAATATATATTTTCATGATATATTTTATGGAAAATTATAATTATACAAAAATGTATATAAAAATACGGAATGTTTGCAATAATCGTGTGGAAAAATTATAATATATAATGATACGATATATATATATATAATGATATAAATTACGTGGAAGAATTATAAAATATATAAAAATAGTGAGTAGGTCAGAGCTTGTAATAATAATCGTGTGGAAAAATTCTAAGAGGGGACGAATTTCTACAAATGTTAAGCGAGAAACAAAAGTGCTAGGGCCCCTAAGCTAGGGGATTAATCTGTTCACAACCAATCTGTCGCTAGACTTCGAAGAAGGCTGCATTATCAATGGCTGCTCGAAAATTAAGTATGTCCAGGTAAGTTTGCGCAGACTGTTGGAATCACAGTCGCTTAATCAAAACTAATGGAAAATAAAAATGAAAGTTTGTGTCTCTGATATTTTATTGAGAATTTTTAGTTCTAGTCAATTGACTACACATATAACTTACCATAATATAGATGGCAAAATAGAGAATGCAGATTAATTCTCTATACTTGTTACTAATTAAATCGTTCTGAAGCGATTATTTATTAGCAAAGTATTAATTTAAGAGTCGTTGAGGCCTCGAATGTTACAGTATCTCTAATTGTTCAAATCATTCTACAACATTTTAGATTTGTAAAATAATTAAAACTGTTCGTTTCATCCAGAGTAACAACATCAATACATCGCTTAAAAATTGTTGAAGAGACTGAATTTAATTAATTAGTCAATTTAAAAATTGATTTAAAGATTACATTTGATTAATTCTGATTGAAATTTGATGAAAATATTTTAATCTCAGTCACTATAAAAATCTCGCAAGTAATCTTAAAGTTTAACTTGATAAAAATTTTATTAAAAACAATGCATCTTTTACTGATTACAGACAATCAATCTTGATTACAGCAGCAACAAGAACAACCAGGATACTACAGGATACTACACGACAGAATACACTAAATGCGATTATTCATTCTAAAATATATCGACGAAAACAGTTTATAATAAACAAAAATAACACTAATCTTATAGCTTTGTTATTTGTCAATTTCCCTACCCGATTCTAAAAATCAGCAACTTCAAAAAAAATCAGTCGAGAATCAGAAGAGAACTAACAATACTAAAAAATTTAAAAAAAAAATTCAAAATTCAAAAAAAAAATATTAAATACTTTCTAAAAATTATGAGAGATGATATCAAGTTACAGAAATTATAGAAATTGGAAAATTTATATTCTCCCAACACAGTCTCGATTTTGGCCGAATATGTTTCGAAGTGCCCAAAA